TAGGACAGGGTAAAATGCAACTGAGTCCTATTGTCCACAGACTCAGAGAATGACTGTAAGTGGAAAATATTTTTTTTAATGTTTTTTATGTGAAGTACGAATTTTTATTTAAGAACATTAGTTTTAATTTATTTTTTCTTTTTATTTTATTGGTCCATTTTAGATATGCATAGTTATAACATTCTCCTTAGGGAACCTGTCCATGGTACATCATGCTTCATCTTTTTTCCCATTCCTTTCTTCCTCCAGTCTCTCTTCCATTCTTTACTTACAAAAGCTTTGTTTCACTTTTTCCTTCTGTTATTTTTCTTTGCTTCACTCCCCTTGTTCCCTTTCTCATTTCAAAAACTTCTAATAGACAATAGTTGTAACTTGTGGTCAAGGGTAGTGAAAAGCACACTGATCAGATAAAGTATAAGATGCTAGTTGTCAACCTCCAGCTCTTTGGAAGCACCTGGAGGACTCTGGAAAAGCCAGAGCACTTCCCTCACTAACTCTGGTGAGCTTTGGTTCAGCAAATGGAGAGTGAGAATTTGCTTTCTACGAGCTTCAGGATAAGTAAGAATTCTCCAGGCAGCAGGTGGGGTGTATGTTTTAAACTAGGCAAGAAATCTCCCACCTTTCAAATTTTGGGAAAATGTAGTTTTGGGGACTTCTTTAGATATGGGGCACATCTAGGTGTGTAGGATTCTCCCTGGCCACTTAAAGAAATAATCTTGTAGGGTCCAACAATTTGAATACAATGTGCAGTGTTCCTAGAGGTGTATAGATGTTCACAATAAAGTTGCAAGAGTATTGAGTATGGAGAAACATGGGGTTCAGCTCCCTCCCTTCACTGTTGAAGAAAATGTGGGATAAGGAACTCAAAGTGTCTTGTGACTGACAAAGGCAGGTGCAGAGACCCCCTGTCCTTGTGTTCTCCGCAAGGTCCCCATTCCTCCCTCACCCCTCTGCTTCCTTGGGCCTGCTGAGCAGTTATTTCCTAAGCATGTTTACTGTCCCAGTCCCCCCACCCAGTCCCTGCAGGCAGACATGGTAGGGTTAACTTCCTTTGGACCAGAGGCCCCAGCCAAGCACAGAGTCTCCATTGTGAGCCGCCCCCTCAGGAGGAGTCTCAGACTGCTGGAATGTGACAGGGCAAAGTGTTTTCACCTTGCCTGGCTTCCCTGGATCTGTGAGTGTGTGCATGTGTTCACATGTGTGTGCTGGCAGGGGCGCTTCTCAAGAGGCCTGCCTGTTGTCCCCCAAACTCATCAAAAAATTGAACTGTGAATTTAGGGTGGCAGGTATTTGTGGGGACAAGGCTGGAGGAGAACAACAGCTTTGTGTGCTGGGGAAGTAAACAAACAGGTTAGGTTTCTTTGCTTTTAAAAGATTGTTTATTTTATTTTTCTAAGGTGAGGGGGCTTATGTGGACACAAGAAGCTGAGATAGTATCCTATGGACAGGCAAGAAATTTGGCAGGGGATGCCTTGGTGAGTGGAGCCAAGGTTGGAGTAGTTTGAACCCCAGGACTTTGAATAGCTGTCAGGGAGTGAATTCATTTTCATTCAGAAAGAACTTCTTGAGACCAGCTCAGTGCCAAACCTGTACTGGTTGCTGAAGTGAATGTAAGCGTTATACAATGCAGACTTCAGTCTGGGAATGAATTGAAGTTCAGTTACAGAAATAAGATTTGTGTGCTCAAAGCAAGTAGTGAACAATGCAAGTCTGGTATCCAGGGGCAAAGTGTACAGCTGGTTGCTGTGTAAGGCAGGGCAGGGAGTGAGTACTGTAGTCTGGAGTATGAAAAATGTTGCCCTAAGACTTGGGCATAACATAGATATGGGAAGGCTTGAGAGCTGTTGCTCATTCATTCCTTCATGTGACAAGAACATGGAGGGCACCAGTCATATGCCAGGCACTGCACAAATCAGTGGAAGGGGAAGCGAGAGCTGAGTCTAGAAAAAGAGCATTGCAGAAAGAATGCTGTCTATGAGGGCTGCCATGGAGACAGGTCTGAGTTGAGTAGACAGTGCGAATTGATGGCTAATGTCCTGGGAGCCTGGACTGTTAAGGTGAGATTAATATGGAAGATCTGGAATGAATGTTCTCCCAAAAGATGAGAGCTGTTCAAAACTGCATGGCTATTTTATCTATGACACATATTTTGAAAAATTTCCATATTCCTGGTTCTGGTCCTCAAGCAACCACAGTCAAATTACAGCATGGGACCAGATTTTCTTATGTGCCCTCTGCCTCTAATATCTGCATGCAATGTGAGGGTTGGATTATCTTTTTAAAGCAAGAAGATGTTCTTTCCCTACAGACAACCCCACAATGGCTTCCCCTGACCTGTTAGATAAAACTCAGACTCATTAGTGTGCCATTCAGTGGTGTCCCTGATCTTGCTGTAATTTGCTGCCTCACCAATCCCTGTGTTGTACCACACCCCTTGTCCACATCAAATTTCTGTTTTCTGATCATAATCCGGGTGCTCCTGAGTTGTACCTTGCTGTTTGCTCTTTCTTTTGCCTGTCCTGTCTTTCTTCTTTTCACTCTGCCTGTGAAAAGCTCAAGATCAAAACCACATCTTGCGCTCCCCTGCAAGTCTGCTTATGTTGCATCCCATCGACCTACACCCTGTGCATGTGGAAAGTACTTTCTTTTTCCTTGCACTTCTATCCTTGTTTATAGTGCATATAAGTTCTGCTCTGATGAGAGTTTGTTTTTCAAGTCTCTCTTCAGAAGTATCTTTATTGTACCTTAAGATTTTGACTTGAGAGGAACTGAAAAAAATGTTGAATTGAATTTTCTCTGGATCTCTTACTACTTAAGATATAGATTTTGGAAATTTCTGCATCTAATTACTGATTCATGTAGTTAAATATACGAATCTCTGAAATGAATCACTTTTTAAGATAGTTTATTAATAATAGAACCTTAGCTTCATACACCATCTATTCATCTACAGTTTCAGTTTTACCTTCTTTTTTTTCTCCACCACATAACATGTACCACATATATTGCCCTACTCTGGCTTGTAGGTCCAAATGACTTCAGTTAGGGAATTTCTTAGCAATCTATGCTTCACCTTTGCCCTGATCTAAGAATAACTTTATAGGTAGGGCCTAGGTAATTATAATGATAGTATAATATTGGTGATTCCTGCCAAAAGGCAATAAATCTTGGACATTACAACCATTAGAAAATGTGATTTGCAGTTTGTGTGGATCTGGGATGCAGGTTGATGAGAAAGGCCTGCTGGACTGTCCTTCCCCCTGGGAAGCAGGGACTTGATCTAAGGTATCTTCTGTCACCAGCAGCTATTATGGAACCTTTCTGTAGTAAGAGAGACCTACATGACTTTTTAAAAATTAAAATGTTTTGGGCAGGGAGGTGGATCAATCCTGATGAAACAAAGAACGTAATAAAGAAAAGTAAGCGGCAATGCCAAGTAGTCTGCCACCCAGAGGTGTCATTACCCACACAGGTGGCTGCTCAGGGCTTGCCGAAAGCATCAGGAAAGGTGCTTTCACTCTCACGAGGGTATCCTTATCTCTTCCAGAAAAATTATATTCTTTGGATTTCCCCCTAAGTGGCAGCAGCTGTGATTGTGCCTTTTTACAGGGAAGAGCAGTTTCCCAGAGCAGAGCATGTGTCTGGGCTTCTCTGGGGAGCAAAGCCCATGAGGCCTCAGCCGCCTTCCTGTCTGGCTTCTTCATAAGGCATCAGATCCTTCTTCTAGAGTGAGAAGATGTGGACCTCACGTTTAGGGTTCCTGTTCTCCACTGTTCTTCATGTGCCTTTGCAGGCAACTTTGGGCATTATCTGGGGACATATCTGCTGGCCAGGTCTTTAAATGGTTGGGCTCAGAAGTACACACCTCAGCTGAATAGCAGTGTTTCTGCTAGAAATGAAGTGCTCAGGGGATGAGGCAAGGGCTCAGGAGGGACATGACGTATAGCCAAGGATGGGAGGACATGGTGTCTCCAGTTTTGTGCAGTCTTAGCGTTCTAGGGTTTCTCTTAAGAGCAGTGTTTGTGCTTCCTTTTGGACTTTGAAATGATGAGTCAGAAACTGGCAAAAACCAGAGGAGGTGAGAATAGGGAGGGACAGTGAAGCTGACCCTGCCATGGTCTGGCAAGAACCTGATCAGTTTTTCCTCTTCTGCTCATGGATTCCTGATTCCCAAGGGGATTCCTGACACCTCCAAGGGCCTTTCAACATGCACCTACCTTCTCTTTCTTTTCTCTTTTGCTGCTATTTACACACAATATCACTTCATATAAGGAATGAGAAAAGAATGAAAATTGTCTAGAGTGGCTATTTGTATCTGAATTGAAATGATTTTTTGTTCTGATGGAAATATTTCTCAGGGTCTGCATTAATCACAGTGTTATATGTGATTTTCCATTGAAATCTTTTGTTTTCCTTTTCTGATCTTGGTGCTTGTTTTAAAAACAGAAGACTTTGCATAATTGAAATAATGCATCATAAAAATGAACTAGAAAGAACACTTCAAAGGTCGACTCGGTAAATGTCCTTCCTCTACGGAGTGGAAGCTTGGCTTAGGCAGCTGGGGGTTTGATCAACCTTGCAAACTGTTCTTCACATGAAACAGGGAAGTGCTGCAAGAAGCCACTCAGTTGTGGTTCCCACAGACCCGAGCATCGACACTTGAGACTTCCCTTTCGTCATGGCTGGTTTTGCTGGTAACTCAACCAGCTGTGGCTTCAATGTAAGAAGTTCTAGCTTGTTGCTAGCTGTAAGACTCACCATGCTGATGTTTATTTTGGGCTCGCCTTTATACAAATGAATAACACCCGATAAGGCATGTATGCATGTTTCCCCCTCTAGTCTAGCAGTTTGGAGGTGTGCCCAATGCTGGTTGAATTTATTTCTGTCATTTTTCTTTCCTGATGCTGTGGATACGTGAAAAAGGAGTTCTAGGAACTTAGACTAGCTTTTGGACTCATGCTCCTTCCTGACACAGCTAAATATCTTTTTGCTTTTCCCAGTTGCAGATCTGATCTCTTCTGAACACCTCACCGTGTCTCCATCCCTGGGACTCTGAACCCAGCAGCTGGACTACTTTGTTCTTGGAATTTTGGGCATCCTTTCTTTTTGCTTTCCTTTTGTCCTTCTCTCTTCTCCCTCCTGAGAACTCCTGAAGACTGTGGGATTGTCATGGAGTCCAGGGAAATCTTGAGCAGCTCCCGGCAGAGAGGGGGTGAGTCTGAGTTCCTGCCAGTCTCCTCAGCCAAGCCTGCCACTGCTCCTGGCTGTGCAGGAGAACCTTTGCTGTCCAGTCCAGGACCCGGGAAGAGCATCCCAGTGGGAGGAGAACGCATGGAGCCAGAGGAGGAGGACGAACTTGGCTCAGGGCGGGATGTGGATTCTAACTCCAATGCAGACAGTGAGAAATGGGTGGCAGGAGATGGCTTGGAAGAGCAGGAGTTTTCCATCAAAGAGGCCAACTTCACTGAGGGGAGTCTGAAGCTGAAGATTCAGACCACAAAGCGAGCGAAGAAACCCCCAAAGAATCTGGAGAACTATATCTGCCCACCTGAGATCAAGATCACCATCAAGCAGTCTGGGGACCAGAAAGTGTCCCGTGCTGGGAAAAATAGCAAAGCTACGAAGGAAGAAGAAAGAAGCCACTCCAAAAAGAAGGTAGGAATCCCTTGTCTTGTTGGGTTTTGATTTCTGTTTTTGCTGCTTTTGTCTCCAACATTTGAAAGTCTGTTTGCACATTACTTATTTACTTCTGAATTGTCAGTCTTCTTAATGGAAGACTTACAGTCTCCAGAAGAAATGCCTCGGATATAATGTTGGTATCACGTCAAATTTATTGATATATTTTCTTATCTAAAAACAGCTGCTAGAATTATAATTAAAGAGTATTTGTATTTATTGTAAAACAGCCAATTGGTTGGTTCAGCTAAACTCTTAACAGAAGTGTAAAGTTCTTAAAAATTGTTTGACATTTGTGTCTGTCTCAGAGTCAAGAGTGGGATATTGAAGCTGGTCAGTCAGAGCAGTCAAGAGCTGTTAAAACCTCTTTTTGGTTTCAATCATTGCTACTGTCAGTCTTTCTAAGATGAACTGTGCATCTGACTCAGGGAGCCTGGTCCTCACAGTAACTGAGGCTCCTGCAGGACTGAAAGATCATGTCCTGAAAGCTCTAATGAGCTTTGGATTGAATTACTAAAGGCAAGGGGATGGGCACTTGGCCTGAATCATAGAGTTGGAAGTCTGCATATTGAAAGGACTTGGTGGTCATTTTCCTGCTAAATATCAAAGGTGGATGTGCAGAGCCGATTGAGGAGGTTGGTGGTATCAGTTGGTCAGGAATGAATGAGTCTACGTTTCAGAGTTTATTTTGGGAGCTGCAGCAGCCTCTGTTCTTGGAGGAGTGTGACACGGGGCTGTGATAACAAAGGACTGCTTTATTACAGAAAGCCTTTTTTTCCCAAAAACTTTGGGAACCTCTGGGGCCTCCAAAAGATGAGTTTGGTGGGCAGAATTTTGAGAGTCTGGGGGCAGGAGCTAATTAGAGTCTTTGATTCTCTTCCTGACATTTGGTAATTTAGGTGGGCTCTGGTGATAGTGGCTTAGCTAAAATTGGCACAAGTGAAGTTATCTCTTGACTGATAATCCAGAGGTAATTTGTAGTATTTCTGTTGCACTATAGTTTTTTGGGTTTTCAAGCCATGGGATAGTAATTTTCTTCTTTTTAAAAATTTTTTATTGTTACTAGTATATTTTTGTAGTATGTCGTGATTATGTTTATTGAGGGCAGTTGGTGCATGTAGTCGTTTTCAGTAAAACCACTGGGAATCACCTAATTCCTTAGTGTCAGACTGTGTCTGTCCCCTTAATAAGTCTTTTGGCTGATTTGTTGCATTTAAAATCCTAATATGTGGGCTCAGAAAGACTTTCTAGGGAGCCTTAACTCCCCACAGTGCTCAATAATCTTGTCCTGGTTTTAAAACCGAAATCCTGCTTCCAGGAGTCTTCTTGCAATTCTGGGAAACCAGGACTGTGGGTCATTCTACTTTGACATTTTGGAATATGAAAGAATTTTTATAAATTGGCTTGTTTTTTGCTGGAATACAGTAGTCATGCTTTCCTCTCCCCTATTACAACTTTGAAGTGCTTTCAAAACCAAGGTTATCTTGACACACTCGTACAAACTTTTGAGATTCTTGCAAGAAAATGCAACAAGCTCTACTTTGAAAGTGCAGTGTGGCTTTGGAGTTTGTTCTTTCTTTTCAGCTTTGAAAATGAGTGCCTTTGTCTCTGGCCATTGAGATAACCAGTTCTTTGTGCACTATTGGGATTTTGCAAGGGTGAGCAATCTTGAAAACGGTTACTTATGCTAACTGCTTTGCTACATCCTCACCACTGTCAGGATTGAAAGAGTGTACAAACCCAAATCTGCTGCCTGATACAGACAGTAAATGGTTCTGATTAGGTACCACTTTCTCTGAAGCCATACACTGATTCCAAATACAGCCGTCTGCCCACCGAAATACCCCAGAATGATGCTCTGGTGTTTGTGACATAAGGTGCTTTCAAAAGTGAAATGTGTGATAGACTTCAGTTTTCATGACTGACATTCTTAGGCTGTTCATTCTCACCTGAAAATGTTGGTGTCATTTGAGGATTTTCCTCAAAAGAGAGATTAAATCCCTTATTTGAATATGTGATTTATCAATGAGTATTTCTATACCTGGACAAATAGAAGGAGTGAAAAAGAAAGAGGCCGAGGGCTGATTTTCAAATCATGGGACTATTTTGTAACACTGTCGGAAGAGTATCCAACCACATGTTTGCATTCTTAGGAGCTCGCTTCACGCTGTACATCTCCATCTTCCTTCTTTTTTTGTGTGTGTTTATTTTTTATTAGTGCATGTTTGCCGTACATAATTATGTATTCCTTGTGAGGAGTTCATTTGTGTACATAGCACATCTCAGTTCTCTTTTTATCCTCTTTTCCTCTACTCGCTCTCCTTCTCCACTCTGGATTCCTTTCCCATTTAAAAAGATCCATCCATATTCTTGCTATTGTCTTCTCTGCCCCCTGCTTCTGTCTCTGTCCTCATATGTGTATGTATATGAAAAACCATGCAGTATTTACAACTGTGTGTGTCATTTATCTCACTTAAAGAAAACATTATTTATATACAATGGAGTACTACTCTGCCATAAAGAAGGATAAGTTTGAATCATTTGGTGGAAAGTGGATGTACTGTAAAAGCTACCTTTCCTTATACCTAGTACTGTTACTTTTCAGCAACAAGTGAGGAAAATGATCAGCAGCGAGTTCTGATCCTTGACAGATGATAAGAACATTCTTTGATCTCTATTGGATTAGAGTATTAACATTATTACCCTTACTTTCCTGTTGCTTCACAACCAGGGAGTAAGCAAAAACTGAAGCTAGATGTTAGGAGGTGGAAACTTACCCAGTCATTTGTATGGAAAAATTAAGTGGCATGAACTTGCAGAATTAATTTTGTACCAATGGGAAATATATGATGAGCAGTATGGGAGGGAAAGGATGAAGATGACGTTTTGTAAGTAAGCTGTTAGCATCTAACCTTGAAATTACATCTTCCAGATGACTTACTAATGAAATTAAACCTTCCCCCCCACTCGCCTGCTTTGAAGAATTATACAGGATGTGGTCCTTAGGAATAGTCTCCCATTAAGAGCTAGAAGGGAGGTTCTGTTGACCAGGTTCTTGAATTGGTAGATATTCCTACTTGGGAGTCATCTAATATATGTGTTGACTTTGAGCAAAAGTTGACCAACTCTGTATGCCATACCCAATGCCTTTACTGGTTTTGTTCAGCTCACATGCAAAGGATGATTTTACCTTTCCAAAGATTAGGAGAAAATGAAAAGAAGAACAATATTTTGAATTACATTCTATTTGTTTGAGATTCATATTTCAGTGTGTATAAATAAAGTTTTATTGGAACAGAGCCAATTCCATGTGTTTACATTTTAAGGATGACTGCTTGTGCATTGCAATAGCAGATTGAGTAGTTGTCACTAAGATACTGTGGACTGCAAGGCTTTGCTGTTTGGTATTTGTTAATCCTTGACTTAGGGAAAAACAGAGTTTCAAGGTAATATAGGTTTTATTTTTGTTTTGTTTTTAATGATTCATCCTCCAAGTTTGGAGGCTGGGAGAAATTGGGTGTTAGATTCTGCGCTTTTTTTTTTTTTTAAGTGAACCAATTAATTTTGTTTAAGTGATTGCTTGACAGCTCCAGGCAAAGACAGCTTATATGGGATCCCACATCATTTTCTTTTTCATTGGTTCTTGTAAAAAGGAAGCAGTGTAGGAAAATGGTAGTGTGACTTACATATCATGAGCTAATTCTCTATAGGTGAACTCCAGTTGTACATAGTCTATGGCTTTGGAGTGAACGGAGTTCATATTTAGCGTGATGTATCATGTAGGATGTTATTTCGTATTTTAAATTTGGAACAAACCCTCTAAACTGAAGAGGTATTGTAGATGGTCAACGAACATGATTACTTACATGGTAGGGTGTGAGAAAGGATCCAGGAAAATACCATATCAGTGGTCCAAAGATGCCTGTGCCTTTTAAACTAGGTATAAGCTTTGCTTTTGCAGGAAATCATGCAGAGAATTGAGATGGTCTTTAGGAGGGAGTTTAGGATAAATGGATGTACATGTAATGTGAAAGTAGCATTTGGGAGGAAGTAAAGGCTGAGGGATGTGCTCAGAGCATACTCCAGGGATTTGCAGATGGACTGCACAAACTCACATTGTTCCTTGTCAGAGGACCAACACTCTTGCATCTTAAAGTTACTTAGGTAAGTGATACAACAGCAACTCATTCCATTACCTTTCTAGATCAGTCAGTAAAAAACAACAGAGAACATGAAGCAGGTATCTAGCTGCAAGTTTTAAGTACAAAACATCAGCATAAAAAGTTCCAGAAAGATGGTTTTGAAGAAGCTCTCAGCTAGGCAGAGTTTAGCAGCCCTTCTCTTCCTGATCTGCAGGATCAGAGATACCTGTCTAGATTTGATAGTGAGAGAAAGGAAGGATGGTTCTGGATGAACTCCATCTGACACCCAGTGACTTTGTGAATGTGGAGCTGCTGTATAACCTTTCTGAAGTCCAGTTTCCTCATTTGCAATTTTTACACACTATAACTGATGGTATATTTTAGGGGGAACATGGATAATTTTATTTTGATATGGGCATGTATTATAATAATAGTGTCAATTTACTAAGTGGTGTTAGCTCCTCTGCTGGTTGTTTTCTTTTAGTCCTTATAACAATTCTGCTGGGAAGATGTTATTTATTTACGGAGGAGAAAATTGAGGCCCAGCTCACTTCAAAAGAGTAAGAATTGGAATGGGCAGAGTTTGCCTTTGCAGCCAATTCTGTTGAACTCCAAAGTCATTGTAGTATTCCAGTTCCTCAGTTACCACACTGTATAAAATTAAAGACTTCTGGAAGGTGAAGAACATGGGAATATTTCCCCTACACTTTCCCATATCAGCTGGAGTGGCAAGATCATAATCCTAAGCATTTTCCTTGGTTTCAAGTCTTTTAGGATATTCAAGGGAATTTTAAAACCCAATGAATTAAGGTCTTATTTTTTCCCCTTTATTATGTT